TCTCTGCAAAAACTGAGGAAATGATGTGGCATATCCAGTGTATGGTCAGTGAGCTTTTTCCCACAGGGACAAGACTTTGATGTGTTGGGAAGAGCTGTAAGTGGGAAATGTAATCTTTGCTGCAACTAAGAAATAATAAAAGAATCACTCCAGGAGATGTGTGAATCTCATCTTGAGATCCTAGTGGGTGTCTTTGAAAGGTTATTACTAGAGTTAGTGATTACAAAGAGGCAGGAACATGTTCATACAGAGTGGCTAAAATGATTTCTTATATCAGTTCCACCTGTGTTGTAAGAGTAACTCTGAGCTAATTGCACATGTGCTTCAGCTGAGGTACCAGCCTTAGCAGATTGTCTGCACAGAGCCCCAGCTCTTTGTCCAGTGAGTTACCCAGGAAGAGTGCTACAAATGGAAGGTAACTGTTTTTTAAGTTTTTAACTGGTTTATTTTTAGCTTTTTTCTTCTTTATTCTCATAAAATTTATTCTTCCTTCTGTCCCACACATACTGCTGGGGGGCTACAGACAAATGCAAACAAGCAATCTTGTTTCTGGGGTTTGTTTCTTCCTGTGCAAGAGGCATAGTGCACCCATGAGCTGAGCCCTGACTTGTGCAGGTGTGAGTACTGAAGTCCACACGGACACGTTTGGCTGTCCTTATGCTGAACATTAAGTGTTTGTTTATCAATTCCTGCAGCCGGAATCAGTTCTGGTTTAGAGATAATGGTTGCAGAGGCAGAAGGTATCTGTTAATATTGATAAAATTATCACTGACGTGGTAATTTTAAATATAGTGGCTTCTGCTGAGGATGCTGCTGAAGGATTCCTTTTTTACTTCTGAGTTTCCTTTAATAGCTGCTGTTCTCTGAAGCCTTTAATCTTGATGTGATAGCAGTATGAGCTTTTGGAGGCTTGCATTAATCAGATTATAAAACTCCCTTAGGATTACTGGAAGAACATTTGTTGGTTTGCAGATGAGTGCTGTTTCAACAATATGTTAAGATTTTTTTCTGTTTCCTGACGTATGATTTGATGCTTTACTAGTAGGCTACTGCATTGTTAATAAGGTTTTTACTTATTTAAGGAAAGCAAAAAAAATTAGAGAAACTTTTGTAAAAGACTAAGTCACAATTTATTATAACAGTAATTATGTGATGAAGTGGGTAGAATTTTGTATGAAACGTGAAAGTGTCTGCAGATATGTTCCCTCCCCATCGAGTCTGAAAAGTGAGGGATTTTAAATAACAAAGCTTCTTATTACTTTTAATCTTTGGATCTAAAATGACTGGGGAAAAACCCTGTAGTCAGCAGCTGATCTGGATTCCGGGTTCTGAATGCAAAGTGAGGTGGCTTTATCAATAATGCAAATACTGTCATGCTCTGTGTGAGCTGAGGGAGACAGAAATCTTTTTGTAATACCAATTTTTTGCTCATTCTAAAGCAGCTGAGCTGCTTATGCTTAAACATGTTCCAGGTATTTTAAGAGTAATGCAGCACTAAATTTTGAACTTATATAAGTTCTAAACTATCAAGAGATCATTGGAGTTCAATGCACAGTTTACAACTGACAAACAAAATAACTGTGGTGAGTTAAAAGTTTGGCAGTTTTACTGCTGACCCTCACCTAATGGTGTAGACTGAACAATATTTTCTTGAGAACACATCCTTCAATGCAGTAAAGCTAGCAGCTTCAGACTTACTTTCCCATATGCAACTTCTTGTACAAAAATAGCATTGTTTCATACAGAAAAGTGTTGAAGATATTTACAAACTTGTTATCTCTTGCCCCCCAAACACTGCCTTGATTCTTCTGTTTTGGTATTGATATCTACGTAGTGTAAAAAAGCCCCAAGAGTTTGTACATTATATTCTGATTTTTTTTTTTAATTTTTTAAAAATTTATTTAGTGTCCAAGCTTGTGGGTTCATACGACTTTCAGAAGGTGACAGTGCTGTCTCGAAAGTTCCCTCTCTGCCTCTGTCCCACTAGTTCTGTTTGAAGAAGCTGTATAGACAACTGGGGCTCTGTTAATAATTAGGATTCAAAAAATTACCTCTCGAAATAAAGTTAGATCACTGATGCAGTCAAATGTGTATTGCTACAGCATTTATCTGAAAAATGTGAAAGGGTGATGTGGAAGCAAAAACACATTAAACTGATATCTTCACAGGGCAGAAAGATGTATGACAGTATACCCTAAAACTTTTTAAGATTCCACTGCTGCTGAGAAGTTGAGGATGATGGAGACAGCAAGAAAAATATTCAGAGAGAAACAGCAGTTTGGGTGTCTAACATCAAACTCCAAAGGGAAGCAGGTGCTACATCTAGAATACATCAGTTTGATGCCACACAGCCTCAAAGGCTCTGTAATTTGTTTGAAAAATTTTTTGAAAGCTTTCCAGTTTTTTGATGTTTTAGGCATCTGTGCATGCGTTGTGTGCTTGCCTGCTCTCTCATGCTGATATTTTCTATTTGTTTTCTAAGAATGACAGAATCTTGAGACTTGGTTATTTTCCTGTCTCTGTGTTTGTTCTAGTATTCCAAATATTTTTTCAGGAGATAATGGGAGTCTGATACAGTTTGTGACACATTTTTGGTAGTTAATTGGAGGAGTAAACCTCTCTCAGCGGCTGTATGGAGAGTGGTCACAAGCAACAAATACTTTTTTTTTTTTCTTGACTGCGTTTACACAGAATCACAGAATGTCAGGGATTGGAAGGGACCTCGAAAGATCATCCAGTCCAATCCCCCTGCCAGAGCAGGAACCTAAATGAGATCACACAGGAAGGCGTCCAGGCGGGTCTTGAATGTCTCCAGAGAAGGAGACTCCACACCCTCCCTGGGCAGCCTGTTCCAGGGCTCTGTCACCCTCACTGTAAAGAAGTTTCTTCTCAAGTTTAAACGGAACCTCCTGTGTTCCAGCTCACACCCATTGCCCCTTGTCCTACCATTGGGCATCACTGAGAAGAGCCTGGCTTCATATTTATTATTAAACTTTCACTAATAGCTCCCGGTAATTGGTGTATAGTCTGTGGCATGCGTATTATACCAGGTTCGCTTAGGGACCATATCTGTTCACTGTGTGTATCACCTATTTTGACATAGAATATTTGGTTACCTGGGGAGAAACAGGTTTCCAGAAATACTAAAGAAAAATTTCTCACATGCTACATTTCTTTTAAAACTCTTTTTAGTATCTTCTAATCCTGTCATTTTCTTTCCTTTTTCAGACTGAAGACTTGAGTCCTCTTCTCCTTCAGTAGCTATAAAAGTGAATGGCAAGGTCTAGTTGATAGCCAGTAGTAGCATTTAGGCAGTACGTCTTGGCCTGTGGTAAGTATCTGGAAGGATTGGGCTTACACTGCATTCCTGGCAGTTTCCTCTTTATTGCTGACATCACTAGTCCTCTCCTACTCAGTAAATACTACAGCTGTGGAAGGACCAGTCGTCAGACCTCCTTACTGGGGGAAGAAGTCTTTGCTGCACACTGAACGCCTGTGGAGATGATTTGTTGCTCACATTTCTTCCTTTCAGTAAGAAGAAAGGGAAATACTCTTGTTCCTGACGTTGCTCTCAGAAACACGCTTCAGGTGATAAGGCTTGTAACGTTGGCTCTCTCCTGAAGTGCACAGTAGAGGTACTCCATGAAGCAGCAGGTCACCAGGCTTGTAGGGTGTTCTGCTGTAGGAGGAGACCAGCAAGTGGTGCCATTTCTTCTCCCTCTTTTCCACGCTTAGTGACTGATTTTTGTAGTAAAAGGCAGATGTATGGTGCTGCAGGCTGAGCCCAAGTCCATCCAGATACTTGCTAAAGACAGAGCTTTCTTTTCTTTCTTGTTCAGTCCAAATATTATCTTCTTTCTCAACTGTGGATATGTTTTATAGGTCTTGGCTAAATCTCCAGAAAGTGTAGTTTATCTTTGTTGGACCTGTGGCTATTCATGTTTGTGGAAATTTGCATGGCTTTCAGTTGGTGGTGGGGTTTTTCCTGACTTCCTGAAAAGTAGAAGGAAATGGAATTGAGCTTTCTCAGATGACGATACAAACCAATTATTTGTTCCTCTCTTTAAAACCTAATTTACTTTCCCCATTGGTTAGACTAAGGTAGCACAAAACTATTTTAGTAGAAGCTTATTTTATGTAAATGTTCTTGTTTCGTACACAATGCCATAAACGCTCACTTTAAAATGTTTGTAAATTAATTTGTTCTACTAGGTAATTACTGATTTGAATTTGACTGTTCATCTTATTAGAATCATAAATCTGTGCAGGTAAAAGGGTAGGTATGAAAACACTGGTGACATCGTGTGGCTTATTTGCCTTTGAGGTTCTTCCTTATTACTCCTATAACTGCATTTTGTTCTCCTTCTTCCTTGGAGTGACTTCGCTGCTGTGTGTAAGGATATATATAATCTGTGGATAACCTAAGTGTGTACTTCAGGTGTCTTTGTTTTCTGTTGCAGTAAGTCTTTATGCTTAAATAGGACTAGTAGCTTTAAAATTATGGATCATCATATAGTGTTCATTTTAATGATAGTTAACAAAGTGCAGTGCTTACTGGTCTTGGAAAAACAAAAATAACAAGCTGGAGGATAATAATGTAGAGAGCTAAAACTTAATGACTTATAGATTGAACTTAAGACTGTTCCTTCTAAGCAACATTTGAACTTGCTTCCTGATATACTTGAGGATAAAAAATTAATATAATGGCATTATAGAATAGCCCTGGTAATGTGGGGCAGGGGGGTCATGCCACACCTTTCTTTTCATCAGGTATTGGAAGGAAGAAATTCTGCTCTTAACAGCCCCAAAAGAAATACAAATGCACCAGCAAAACTTTGGAATTTTCAAGTAACAGTTTTAGGCTAATAGCTGTTCTTATTTGGTCATCATTTATTAGGAAAGAGACTTCGTTGTCTGTATTTTACTGTGAAGTGACTTTGTTTGTACTGTGGCCAAATGGCATAGTTCATTTAACCATGGTGTGCTCGTCTTGATTGCAGCACATCTTCATTGCCACCTCTTGACTGGCCTTTACCAAGTCATTACGGGCAGTGTGAACTGAAAATAGAAGTCCAGCCTAAAACACATCACAGAGCTCACTATGAAACAGAAGGAAGCAGAGGAGCAGTAAAAGCATCCACTGGAGGACACCCTGTAGTGAAGGTAGGAAGTCTGGCTTTCTTTGAATAGAAAGTATTTTTTTAACTACAATTATTGGTATTTACAATACTGTGCATTTTTACCATGTGTGAAGCTTACAGTCCTTCCTGGGTAAGATTTTCTCCCTTAAATGTAACTTGTTGAATGCAAAAGTTAGATTTAGATTTTTAAAAGTTGACAGTTTGCTATGGTTATGGTTGCAGTGCATGACACAGTTTTACGCTGTACACAGTTTTATGCCTGTGAATGGATTCACAGTGCAATAGTGTCTTACTTAATGTGTTCAACATGAACTTTAAGGAGGAAAGAGT